ATATAATATAAACTGTTTATTGTTATAAACAGTTTTTTTTTTTAATTGAAATATGCCCGTCGGAATTCCGCCGGAATTCAGCAACTATAAAACCTCGGAATTCTGTCGGAATAAATGACATAGCTTGACAGACCATATCATCGGAATTCCGCCGGTGAAAATTTATGACGGTTCACATATCGTTGGAATAATCAACGACGGTTACATCTGTCAGAAACTCGTTGGAATAGATGTCTTCGGTGTCCCGTCAAGTATATCTGACGGATATATTATTCCGACCATCTTATTCCGACGGATTATTTCTGTCTTGATGTCGTCGGGATATGATGTTTCCGACGAAATACAGACGGTATTGGCCGTCGGAATTTATCATGTTTTCTTGTAGTGCGAGGTGTGAGGATCTTCGCCATGTATCACAGAAACAAAAACAAATGATCCTAATCTCAGATCTCGCATCTTCTGTGACCATTGCGGTGAGCATGAAGCTTGGGTTTCACATGTGTAAATCATTTTCTCCATGTATTATTATTTTAGAGCGGCTTCGTTTCGTATGCCTGTTCTGTTAAGTTCAATAGTTAATTTTTTGTTTATAGACTTATGATCGTATGTTATTGATTGTTTTGTATTTGTTGCTACATGTTTATTGTTATTTATGTATCGTTCTAGCTCTAAACATGATCTTCTGATTTTAGGATAGGGATCTCAAACAAAAGAAGCAGCGAAGAGGAAAATACGCGCCAAAGTATAACAACGAAATACAAAAGAGTGATTCTCATGATTCTAAATTGTTTATTGTGCTATGTAGATTTTTTATCAAACAATTCCGTAGGATTTGCTATATTTTGTTTTCGTGTTGATCATGATTATAGTTTGATGGCTAATGAAGTGATTGCTTGCTTTATTTGACAGATATCAAAATATTGAAACATATACCTGAATAGCAAATCCCCGATAAGATCTTAAAAAAGTTCGTTCGTTGGATTTTTTGAAATAACCAGTTTTTGCATCTTCTTAATCTGGATTTTAAAATATTTTACACGTGTTTTCATTCGTTGTTCATAAGATTTTAATGTTTTTAGTGTGTTAAAATGTCATGTAGAGCTTTACACGTATTTTGGAGAAGAATGAAATAGAGGAATGATTCATGTTTATTCTTTTAGATTTCTCATCTAGAAGAATACAAGTTTTTTTCGGGCGATGAAAAAAAAATATCAAAAGAGAACAATTATTGGAAGAGGTAAGAACGCAAATCTTGAATTTTTCTACTTTAATGTTATTAGATCATATAATAGTTTTAGTCTTTTATTTTTCTTGCAGATTGTTATATATATGGCAGTTAAACCAATATTTTTTGCAGATTGTTATATATATGGCGTAAATCCATATAAGCAGATTTGGACTTTATCCAAGAACGTTGTGAATTGTTTGCAAGTTAAAACAAGAGCTCATATATGGGTATGTCAAAGGTGTAAGATCTGAAAAAGATAAATGGGTTTGTAATGTGAGGTTCACATATACTTCTAATAATGGTGTGAACACATGTTTCCTCTTATATCCAGATAGAACCCCAAGCTCATTCGATATAGTTAATCTAATTAATTGTTTTCTATTTGATTTCACCTGATATTTTTTTATTAGTTCTTTGTTCTTGTGTGTTTTTTATATACAGGTTTCATGGCCATATTTGTGTTTTTGTGTTAGTTCTCTCACTATTATATGTGTTTTTATGATTGTTCTAATTAATTGTGTTTGTTGAACTCACCGTCACCAGCTTTTGTCCTTTGGAGCTTCGTTCCACCTTTACTCTTTTTGATATTCTAGGTAGTATAATATTTTTGAATTAATATTGGAATAGTAACGTAACAACATCTAAAAACCAAGTCAAATTAAAACTTTAATTTTTCTCCAACTTTACATACGAATCAAATTTTTCTACACTCGAACTGAATCGAACAGTAGTTATATTCAGTGTGAAGGTTAAGGCTCACATTGGGTTAAAGCCCCCTCTTATAGTTTAGCTCCTCTTATTTTGCTAAAAAAAACTTAATTGCTTTAAATGTTTTACGTACATTTATGATTGTTTAGTGTCACATATTAACGTTTATAACTTTTTAATTTGCTAAAATATAAATGATATATGTATAAATTAAGGAAAAAAATTATTATTATAAAACGAGTATTCGATCATAACATTTTCATTATACGGTGCTTATCAACCTGGACGAAATTTTACACACTTCTTTTATCAAATTTTGATGTTTATTTTTAATTGATTTTTTCGATCACAACTGTTTATATAAAGTTTATTTTCATTCTCTAAAAATTTGATAATGGAGAAAGTATGTTTCTCCGAAATTTTCATCGAAAAAGTGTGTATAACAGCCCACGTATAATTTTCCTCAAAAAAACATATTTGTGACAAATATGTTGGTCCAGACCTTGGACTATCTCTGAAAAATCTTTGCTCTGAATGTTTCCATCGAGAACCAAGATGAACGCAAGCATTTTAAGGTTATTATTCACTAAGTTTGTAAATAAATTTGGAATTTAGGGATTTAGTCATAGATAGTCTCTACAACGAAAGTTGATT